CGCGCGGGCGACTCCGATTCCGAAGCCGGAGCAGCAGCAGCAGCGGCCGCGGCCACCAATGGGCTGGGAGAGCCGGCGCTCGGCTGCCCCGTGAAGCGCCCCGGTCGCGACGGGGAAGGTGCGGAGGAGCGGTCGCTCTTGGCCCGGCAGGTGAGAGCCGCAAAGGGGGCACGATCCCCGCTTCCTACCGGGCGGGGCTTGTGAGAGGCGCTTGGGCTTACCTTGGAGGAGAGCCACGGAGGTCGGGAGGGGGTTATTCGTACCCGTCTCGTAGGTGCCTTGAGGATGCGAGGCCACGAGAGCGCCGGTCTGCGCGCCCCTGCTCGGAAGTAAGTCTCGTTGATCTCAGTGGGGCTTACGCTCAGGTAAGGGCGTGTGGGATTGTTGCCCTGTCTCGCTCGTGGCTGTGCTTTCTGCATTGAGTCTTACTGCTTTGAGAAAGACGGAATAGAAGTTAACTAACTAACTAAATAAATAAATAAATAAATAAATAAACAAACAAACAAACGGGTTGACCTTCTGGAGAAAAGAGCACGTGAGCAGGACCTCAGAGAGATCCACTCCTGGTACAATAGCGCCAGGGAGAAAAGGGACTTAGATGTAATTCGGAGTCAACGGTGCGGAGAAGCTTGTAGAAGTACCTTAGGAAATAACGAGCGACTATCGATGGCGAGTCGGTGTCAAACGCTAGTGGGAAATGCGTCTTACCTCATTGAGTTTGTTCTGAGGAGGATAATTTGCTGGGTTTCTGTCCGGGAGAATCCGCAGTTGAAACCAGTTTTCCAAAGCGCCGCTTTAAAGCGCGGTTCTTCGAGGGTTTGTTTGAAAGCGTTACTCTTTCACGGGATAGCCGAATTCAGATGTTCCTGCACCGGGAAATCTAACCGAAAACTTGGCCTTTCGCAGAATGCCCAAAGAGCCCAAAGGTGCTGTCTTCTCATCGGTTTCCTATTCGACGACGTTTTCTTTAGCAACGTCTGAAACCTACGCGCTGAGCGCAGACGGCCGCGGCTGCGCCTGATCCCGCGCGGGTTTTTTTTTCTTCCGAAAGCAAGACCCAGTACGGTTGAAGTCCGTCGGCCTTACTTCCGAACAAGCCACGCGTCGGATCGCACGGCGCGACCGGTGGCGAGACTGTTGCCCGTTTGCCGTCGAGTCCGCGCGGTGGGTTGAGCCGCTTTCCGAGGCGCGCTTTCCTGCGCTCCGAGACGGCCGGCGGATGACTTAATTTTTAAAAGGCAATCCGTCGCTCTGGAGGGCGGCTAAAAGCGGGGCGCAGTTAGGCTGGGACCCCCCCCCCAAAAAAAGAAGCGCGCAGGGATGTGTGGTGTTTCCAGATGCAGATTTCGCATCTGGCGCCGGCCGTGGCCTTTCCTCGAGGGCGTATTATCATCTCCAAATCCCTTCCTCCGATTTGGGTAACGCTCTGCAGTAAGGCCTTCCCGAAGGCTGTTCAGTAAGATCAATCAGACAGCAGGCGAGGGCCTCGCTCCGTGTAGACAGTGGATCGCTGCTCACCTGCTGGCCGGCGGTTCCGATGGGGCACCGAGCCGGTTTCGACTCCGAGTGCCGGAGAGCTGCCGTTGCTCCGCCGATCAGGCCAGGCTCCGAGGCGCCCTTTCCCCGGGAGCGGGGCAAAAATCCCCCGCGTGGGCGAAGCACCTGGGATTTGCTGGGGTGGGGGTGCGATCTCTTTCCGTGGGGTCCGTAAGGGGTCCCCAGGAAGCGAGGCTTTCTTTCAGCGGGGCTGGTTTGCGCCTCTGGGAAGGGCTATTTGTTGGAACCGCATCTTCCAGAATCCCTGAGATTTTTGCGACGTATAAGGAGCTGCGTCTGTGATCACAGCAGAAATATCGGAGTGCCTGTTTTTCTTGCATTGCTTCAGTGTCTGAAAGCCACGGGGGAGGCATTTTCCATAAACTTCCCATTTTAGTGTCTCCAACACCTTAAAGCTCTTCTCTGTTTGCCCCTATTCTAGGTGTGACCTTATTACAGCACTGTACTTGCAAGCTGGACTAAAAGCTTTCATACCAGCTAGCCTGGCGGAAAGGGAATAGCTGAAGATGTTCCTAGCATGGCTACATGCATATGAGATAGGCAGATGTAATCTACTGTTAATCTTGTAAATGATTCTGGAAGCTACAGATTGTGTGCCATCCAGTTGATTCCAACTTAACAGAGTTTCTAAGTTGTGTGAAATATTTAAGGGGTGTTTTTTTTCCCCTCTTCCACTCAAGGAGTTTCCAGAGACAAACACGGCCCCCAAACCAGTTGAAAACTGTCCCCCACTTTATGCCAGGTCTCTGGGAATTTTAGTTTACAAAATAATCTCTCCAAGCAGTGTGAAAAGGATATGTTAGGGTCTCTCTAATGGTCTACACCTTGGGTGTTGTTTTCTCTGCTGAAGTTGGGACATTCATGCAGGGTCAGGCTGATGCGGGGGTCTTGCCTTAATTGGACTCTAGTTTCATCTGTAAGCCGGTAGCCGGAGTTGCTGGGAGGGGAAGAAGCCCACTCGTAGCATTGCAGTCTTCTGATAGGAAGTTTGGCAAAGGAGCCCCACTGGCTTACCTTTCCCCGGACATGTGAGCATGCTTCTTCCTTCTCTGCGTGTGTCATTTGGGAAGATCCATGAGGGAGTGTAAGAACATTCTCCCCTGCAGGAGAGGGCTCCTTTCACCCCAGACTGGTTGGAAGGTCCCAAGAGGAAGCTCTTTTGTACCCACTGCTAGGCCTGTATTCTAACACCTTGTGTGGTCGTCATACTTCATTTCCCATGCTCACACTCCACATTAATGAGAATCAACTACTTCCTGATTACAGCCTGGAATTTTTCTAGGACAGAAATGAGATGCTTATTTATACAAATAATTACTTGCCCCCCCCTTTTTTTTGGGTGGGGAATGTGACTCCCATCATTCTTATTATTGGCTAGGCTGGCTGGGGTTGATGGGAGTTGTATTCCAACCAGAGCTGAGGGACTGCAGGTTGTTCTTTTCCATGTGTACCATGGCCTCTACCTTTCTAATGCTCTGATAACTGGTCCTTAGTACTTTTCTAAGTTTTGGCAGTTTATCTTTAAAATCTATGAAGACATACAACACAGTGAATCAGCCTGCAAACCCAAATTCACAGGTTTAGAGGTTGGGGTGGATTTTTCTGGGTTTCTTTTAGGCTGAAATTCCTGTTAATAAGAATTTTAGCTTACAACTTACAAACCACCGCCATTGGGCTCACTCCATGCTTAGACTTTATTCTAAAATCTGTGCTAAGAATTGGTGTGATTCACTTTCCCCAGTCTTGTCTCTGAATCACAATTTATATACTTGTAACCCGTTGCTGCTAAGACTGGGTGCGCCACAAAGGGATCACAAAGGCATTGTTCCTGCCTACGAAGCAGATTTACAGTTTGCCTACTCTTGGAATGCAAGGCTGGTTTCTCTGCGTCCAGAAGACTGCAGAAAGGAGAACCTAAAATATGATTTCTTCCTATGAGAGGTTAATGCTGTTTAATTAGAGGAATCTAAAGAGGGCAGGAAAGCAAGGTAGAGATCTATAGAATTACAAGTCATATGAAAATTACTCTTTTAAAAGCTTTGAAAGTTATTTGAAAGCTTTTGAGGGGGTGTGTCCAATGAAGGAAGTATTTTCAGGTTCATCTTTCCACATNNNNACCCCCCCCCCCCCATTTAGAAACTTTTCAGACAAATTTGGTTTTTCTGATAATACTGATAATTCTGAGTCATTCAGAATCATAGCCTCTGGTTTAGATGGCATTGAGAAAAGATCAGAAATAATAAATGATGGATATGAACTTTTCATATTCCAGGGTGATACCCCCTTTCCCAGCAGGCTCTGGAGCCAAGTGGATGATGGCATCTTTATAATTCTTTCTGCAAGCCTCCCTGGGACACTTACTTTGTATCTGGAAAAGATGGAGCTGACTTGGATTGACAGAACCCCACAAAGAAATTCTTGTGTCCTTGTTGTAGCTGCTTTGCCTTGTCCCATTCCCCAAAGTACCCATAAACTACTGTATGTCATGGTGTAAGATCTAGCTTTACCATGACATAATCAGAGCCGCTTCAGTAGTGGTGCTCAATCCTGTGGAAAACTCTAGAGAACAGGAACTCTGAAAGTATTGAGTTGGATTAAGAGCACGCTAGCTGCACTTAATTTCCACTGAAATCAGTGGTTGACATCTGGTAGTAAGCTGTAACTGAAGTAGGACCATTGAATCAGTGGAACTTTCATAGGCATTGACTACACTGATTCAGTACACTGATTTACTCCTGGATTTCAGCCATTGATTCAGTTTGCCCCATTGGTTTCAATGGGATTGAAGCTCAGCTATCCAAGCCCTATTCAGACATTACTGGATCCATTGTACTGTAATCGAAAGTTACAGGCAAGTGTCTTGCCCTGCGCCATCTGTCATCACTTTCTCCTCACAGAAGGCCACATTCCTGGCAAATGGGGACATGGGTTCCTGGAAACAAGCTGTGGAAAAGAGAACATCTGTTGCTTTTGCTTTGATTGAAGGCTTCTAAAGTAATGGAAAAGGTATGGTAGTCAGTGCTTGGTTGTCATATGCAAAATATTCCAAAATTATGTACATATGAGCCTTCTCAGTGCTAAAGATCATCAGAGGAGGCCCTCTTCTTGATCCTATTGCCAGCACTGGGAGAGTTGATGGGGATATGAGAAAAGGCCTGCTCTGTGGCTGCTCCTACATTATGGGACACTCTCCCTTGGGAGATCAGGCTGGCCCCCTCCCTTTTAACTTTCTGCCGGCAGCTGGAGACCCACCTTTTCAGGCAGACTTTCAGCAATCATGACTGAGTCCTTGAATGCCAGTTTTTAGTTAAGATAGTTCTTAATGTTTTATATATTTCCAATCAATGTGTTTTAATCAGTTTATAGTTTAATTGGTTTTTAATGTATAAATTGTTGTTATTTAGTCGTGTCCGACTCTTGGTGACCCCACGGACCAGAGCATGCCAGGCCCTCCTATCTTCCACTGCCTCCCGGAGTTGTGTCAAATTCATGCTGGTCACTTCGATGAGACTGTCCAATCATCTCATCCTCGGTCGTCCCGTTCTCCTCTTGCCTTCATTCCCAACATCAGAGTCTTTTCCAGGGAGCCTTCT